GTTCCGATTGAACACGAAGTCCAGCCTGTCCACCGTGCAGAAGGAGCTGTCCTGTGCCCTGGAGGGGAAGCCCGGAGACGGAGGGGTGTGTACAGAGGCCAGCGATTCCTCGTTCACTCCTGGGCACACTCAGACATTCGCTCATTTGCTCATTAACTCATTCAGTGAATATTGGTTATGCACCTCCAAATGGTAGGTATTCTTCAAACAAGGGATACAGAGTGGAAAATGCCTAGGTTTTTAAAAAGCTTACCCAGAAGAAAGCCAGAAACTCCATAACAGATAACAAAAGCAAAAATAAATTTCGTAATTCACTCATAGAAGGTCCTATACATCAAGGAAAAATAAAGGGGAAAAGAGGACTCATCCCAGAAGACATCAGAAGGGGAGTCAGGTCTGGGCCTGAGGGTGAGGGGGTCCTTTTAAGATACTTTCTCATGTCTTTGGCTCTGCCTGGGGCCAGACTTCTCTGGGCTTCAGCTTTTAAACACTCTGCCTCTACTACATTTGTCTCAAAGCCTCTCTACCTCTCTGAACCTTGGTCTTTCCATCAGTCAAAAGAGTAACCTTTTTTATGCTTACCAGTTCGGGGGCTGGAGGAATTTGAAGGAGAATATAGTTTTCAAACTATAGACGTGGAAATAAGACAGATGTGAGTTTCATTCCTGACTGTCATTACCTATATGTATGACTTGGGGCAGGTTATTTAACTTCTCTGTGCCTCAGTTTCCTCTTGTGTAAACCAGAGTCAGAAACCATATGTAAATACTGTATGGTAATCACTTATATGTGGAACCAAAAAATAATACAGATGAATCTATATACAAAACAGAAACGGACTCACAGACATAGAAAACAAACTTATGGTTACTAAAAGGGAGAGGGAGGGATACACATAGGAGTAATCCCATACACATAGGAGTATGGGATTAACAGATACAAACTACTATACATAAAATAGATAAGCAACAAGGATTTACTATATAGCACAAGGAGTTATATTCAGTATAATAACCTATAATGGAATATAATCTGAAAAACAATAACTGAATCATTTTGTTATACACCTGAAAAAAACGTACCTATCTCATAGTTATGGTAAAAATGAAATGAGATAAAAGCACCGAGCACAAGGCTTGGAGCACAATATACCCTTAGTAGAGGGTTTTGTGTTGATGAGAAGGATAATGGTGATGGGGTTGTTAGTGGTACTGTGGCAGTAAGGATGGTGGTGGTGGTCATGGTGGTGATGACGCTGGTCCTGGTGTTATTGATGACGATGCTGGTGGTGGTCCTGGTGGTGATGATGCCGGTCCTGGTGTTGATGACGGTGGGGGGGGTGGTCATGGTGGTGATGACGCTGGTCCTGGTGTTGATGACGGTGGGGGTGGTGGTCGTGGTGGTGATGACGCTGGTCCTGGTGTTGATGACGGTGGGGGTGGTGGTCCTGGTGGTGATGACGCTGGTCCTGGTGTTATTGATGACGACGCTGGTGGTGGTGCAGATGGTGTTGATGCTGACGGTCATTACAGCCAAGAAGAAAAGACGGTCTATTCTTCCTGTACAGCAAGGCAGAGAAGAAAGCTGTCTTACAAAACCTGGTCTGAAAGGGCTCTGACTGGGCTAGAGGTCCCACTGGCATCAAGAGGAACAAGGCTGGCATTTGAGGGGCCCCTGGGATCTCCCAGCATGTGGTGTAAACAGCCCAGTCTTTCCTTCAGCTCTTGCTGCCTGTCCCCTTTCCCAGTCCTCCTTGCAGACAGAGGGGCCCTGTAGTGAGACAGGTGGGGCGTGCAGCCCTGAGGAATAGTGGAAAATCCAAAAGACTTGGAAAGATAAATAGGCTCATGCAGATAGCATAAAAGTCCTTTTTCTGAACTCACGTCAGGTAAACCTCAACTGACAGAAACTTGTGCAACCACACCAAGACACTCCTACGGATGGATTAAATTAGCTCTCAAATAAACAGGGGGGAGGAATGGGCATCGAGTCCCTTGTGGATCCTAATTCTGATGTTTTCTACTACTTGAACCATTACCTAAGTGCCCCTCCAACATCCCTGAATTTTGGCCAGGAACAGACGTTCAGACCCAGAGATGGAAGTCTGGTTAAAGCTTCTCAGAGGATGAAAGCAGGCGATGCCCTCTGCTTCTGGCCCCCATGGCTGGGAAGCAGAGGGGCAAGAAAGTAGCTGAGCTGGAAGGAAGGGACACTAGAGTTCTCACTTTCCTTCACTTGGTCAATATGTATTTGTTTGCTGTGCTCCATCCTGGATCTGGGGGGAGACAGATGCCCTCTTACCTGTAGGAGTTAGTCCTGGGTTGACCATTTCTACATCATTTATCTCAGTGCTTCATCACAGCAGACCTATGACATTTTCAGTACCCATTTCACAGATGGGAAAACCTAACCTCAGAGTGGAAATTTCAAGTCAGATTTGCAACCATGTCTTTCATGCCTCATTGCTCAGTCTTTCCCATACATCACCTTCTTCTGTTTTAGGAGTGTCAACAGAGGCAGTAGGGGCTAAAGAGTAGATTTCACATTGTGAGACTGGTTGGCAGATCTTCAAGTTAAGTTGTTTGTCCAAGATCTTTAATTAATTCAATCTACACTAAACTGGTCCTCTAAACTAGATGCTCTGCTAGGCATCGTAAATGCTCTTCTGATGCTCTAGAAGAGAGGAGGACAGGTAAAGAAAATAATTGTCCCTTGGTAAAATCATCTCTATCTTGAAATGGATCCATTCGTTTATAACATAAATATTTGCTGGTCATCTTCCTTGTACCAGGCACCATTCTAGGCATGGAAAACCCAAGGGTGAACCAGAGATGCTGTGGGGCAGAGAAGAAAGGTACCCAACCCAGCCAGATCTTGAAGTCACGGGATTCCAAGTTCACCAAGAAACCTAATTACACTTTTGCTCCCATATATGTCTGCCCTTGGGGAGAGAATGGGCTGGTCACATGGATTTTCCACATTCTAGCCCATGTGAACATTCATTTCTTAATTAAAATTAATCAACTGGCATTCAGCCAGCAGAGAGAGCCCTGATCATAGAGACTTCCAGGGCTGCTCTCTGGCACAGTCACCTGTCATCGCAAATCTAAGCATTTGCCTCCAGGTTATTTTAATTTGCTTTTATTTTATTTTTTTTAAGAAATCATTGTAATATGGCATGAAAAGTAAGGCATCTAGGGCAGAATAGAAAAAGGAGCTTCTAAGATTGTTATGTTAGCCCTAGTCCTGATGCTATTTTATATTCCTAGTTTTATTTTTATATATATATATATATTTTTTATAATTTATTTATTTATTTATCTATGGCTGTGCTGGGTCTTCGTTTCTGTGTGAGGGCTTTCTTTAGTTGTGGCAAGCAGGGGCCACTCTTCATTGCGGTGCACGGGCCTCTCACTATCGCGGCCTCTCTCGTTGCGGAGCACAGGCTCCAGACGCGCAGGCTCAGTAGTTGTGGCTCACGGACCTAGTTGCTCTGTGGCATGTGGGATCTTCCCAGACCAGGGCTCGAACCCATGTCCCCTGCATTGGCAGGCAGATTCTCAACCACCGGGGAAGCCCTCTTCCTAGTTTTATTTATCTTTCTTTTTTCACCCACTTAAAAAGAAATTATTGTGTTGGATTTTATGTTATGAGCTGCCTTAAATCCTTCCCAAAACAATTGCTTGGTTTCAAGTCTTGGTTCCTTTACTTAACAGCTATGGAGCTTGGGGAATTTATTCTCCTTATGATACAAGATTAATGCCCACCCCACTGCATGGTGGTGAGAAATAAATAAGGTAATGAATAAAGTAATTAGCACCATGAATGCACTCAATACATTTTAGTATAATAATAATTATTATTATTTCATTACGGGAGGCTATAAGTAAATACATGTATGTATACCTTAAGCTCTGCCTTAGAGGGCTGGGAAATCACCACAAAGGAAGGTAGTCTTTTCTTTTTTTAATTCTAAGTTTATATATTATGTATTTCTTTTAAAATTTTTATTGGGGTGTAGTTGATTTACAATGTTGTGATAGTTTCAGGTGTACAGCAAAGTGAATCAGTTATACATACACATGTATCCACTCTTCTTTAGATTCTTTTCCCATATAGACCACGACAGAGTATTGAGGAAGGTAGTCTTGAACAGAAATGTAAAAGATAAGTAAAGATTCTCCAGGTGACAAGATGAGGAAGGGCTTTCAGTGAAGGAGAACGGCAGGAACAAAGTCACAGAGATACGAGTGTGGGCAACCTCAGGAACTGGGAGCCTAGCCTGCACGGCCTGGTGGCAGGTGGATGCAGAAAGGGTTCTCTGCATCTCCAGGGTTCCGAACCAAAGGTTATTTCATGCATCCTCCAGGCCACTGCTCTCAAACTGTAATGTGTATCAGCATCACCTGGGAGGCTTGTTTTTACAATGCAGAGTCCCAGGCCCTGGCCTCAGAGATTCGGACTCTTTAGACCCAAGGCGGCGCTGAAGAATCTGCCTTTTCTGTGTGCCCCCATGTGATCGTGATTAGAGCGGTCCTTAGCGCCTACTTTGGGAAGCCCTGTTCCACACCATTCTTCCATCTTCCTGCTGTAGCTGCACACACATGCACGTGCACGCACACCGGCACGTGCACACACTCACGTGTGCACACATGTGCACTCTACCCTTCCTCCTTCCTCCCACCTTATCCCCGACTCTGTCCGTGGGGCAGGCGTCAGCCAGGAATTTTCTGAAGTGCCTTTCTGATCGTGTCTCGGTCCCCCAGTTCTCCTTCTCCTCAGCCCTTCTTCCTGCCAGGGAAATACAGAATCGTGACACCTACGGTGAACACAAAACATTATTTTAGTCTTATGGATCCTGTTATTGCAGGTACCTGGGCAAATTCTCCGTGGAAATGCCAGGGTGAGGCCAGCCCTTGGAAGATCCAAGAAGAGGGGCGGGTGGTTGAATGTGGTGCCAGCCCCAAACCCGTCTGACCTCTTTCTCCGTCTCGCTGTAGAGAGTTGTCTGCACAGCTGGTCTGAAGTGGCATCCTCACCCTGCCCTGATTCACTGTGTCAAAGGCTGTGAGGTGAGTCCCTCAGAATGGTGCTACAGCCATTGCTGTTATTGTTACGTTGATCATGACTTCCATTTACTGTACCTACTAAGTGCTATAAATATCCCCTTAACAGACTGCTCGGGCAGGGATCAGCAGTCCCACTTTATAGGTCATGGAAATGATGCACAGAGATATCAACAAACACCCTCCAACATACAGTGAATGGCTAACAGAGTCGGGATTCCAAGCCAGGTGTTTCTGGCTCCGCAGCCTGTGTTCAACATAATATGGCTTCTGTAAGGGAGGTTGGGAGGGACGAGGCCATATTCATTTAGCAGCTACAATATGCCCGGCATTTTACCAACATTGCCTTATTTAACTCTTACAGAACCACATGAGGCAGTTTCTGTTTTTTCATTTCTACTTTTCCTGCAACCGTTAATTGCAGATCATTTCCTTCTGCCACATGTCTTTGTCATTCACGCGTTCTTCAACTCCAGAGATAATTTGGACACCTTAGACTCAACCACTGAGCTGAAGGTGGAAGATCCCCTCTGACCCTTCAGTTCTCTCACTTGGCAGTGGAACCACTCCTTGGAACTTGGCATTTTGGAGCTCTGTCCCTGGGTATCAGTGACAAGCTTGGGGAGGGGCAGGGCCAGGGCACTTGGCATGTCACCTGTGTTCTCAAGGGCATGCTACTGTCCATGGAACTCAGAGACATTCTGTGCACCCCTATGCCCCCTGTGAATCTTTTCAGCTGGCATGGAAAGGAGGTCCCAAATCACATCCAGGTGGATGTCCAAATCTCTGTAGTGCCCCCAGGCCCCCCTCAGGAAAATCCAGGTGAAAAGGACTAGATTGTGCTCTAGAAAACTTTGTATTTGATGAAATTCTTAAACTGTCACAACCAGACTGTTCTTCTAGATGATGGGGAAACTGACACACAGCCAGCAGCCGGGTCTAACATTTGATAGAATGCCAACTGGCACAGCTCTCAATGCCATCTACCGTCCTCATTTGTTGTGTAGACTGGAAAAAGAGGGCCAAAAGGGGGATGCACTGGCCCAAGGTTACCGCACAGCATACCAGACACAGAGCCAGAGCATGAACCCAAGTCTCCTGACTTCCAGGCCCGTGATTTCTCTCCTCCACTAGGCCACCTTCTGCCCATGAACCGTCCCCTGACCTGTAAGTGTCACTGGGTCACATTTCTTTCTGTGTATTGCTTAGGGAGTCCCCAGGGGCATCTTCTCAGGGCACAGGACACTGCAGTCTTTAAAAACTCCCGTTCTCTCAAGATTCAGCAGGAGCGACAAAACCAAAGCCAAGGACCTGAGGCAGCTGCTTCCTTACATCTCTCTGGATCAGTCCAGGATTTCAGAAAAAGGAAGCTTGGATTACCTGGGCACTCGTTCTGCTGAGTCGGCGGTCTGGGCAACCAGTGTGACAGCGGAATTCAATCCCTTCTTTGACTCAGCACTGAGGCCTAAGAGACCCACACCTGTCAGGCTCTGAGCTCTGCCAGGGATGCTTATCGCCTTTGCCCTTGCAGGTGCCCCCTCGTCTCCTTTCCTGCTTAACTTAGAGCTGATAGTTTCTCTCTTATCTGGGGCTGAAAAGTATGCTTAGAAGAGATACAACTGCTGGGTCCAGGGAGGAGCCATCAGCCTGGAATGTCTGCAGGAGCCAAGATTGATAAAGGGTCTTGGGGCCCTTTAGGCCCCTGCTCTCTGCCCCAAGCTGTGTTCAAAGTAGTCATTTACTTACTTGTTCATCAAAGCTTCACTGGGTGCCTGGTATGTGCCCAGCACTACCCTAGGTACTGAGAGTACAATGGTTTTAGTCAAGTGAAAACAGTACTGTGTTCTCCCTGACTCACGTGGATATCTTCTTGCCCTTCATCCATCCATCTGCCCATCATTTTACTAGATAAACATTTAAGGAAGATACGTTTAATAAAGTTTTGCTCAAATTGCCAGCATTTTGCTAAGAAGTCTAAGATATAAAAATGGATGACGTACGTTCCCTGTCCATAAGGAACTTACAGTGTAGTAACAGAGATACGGTTAAAGAAGAATTCTAAACTGATATACCAAGAGGTATAACCAAAGCGGGTTTAAGAAGCTGCAGAAGCACATGGCCTCTCGGGGGTTGTAGGGAAGACATTTTGGAGGGGTGATGTTTGAACTAGATCTTGAAGGATGAATTGTTTTCCAAAACACACTATTAGTAGAAGTAGCGGCATAAGAAATACCAGAGACGGGAGCAATCTCTAGGTTGTAGAGCTTTTCACATGTTATTCTCTCCCTCTAGAAAGTCTCCCTTCTCCACCCCCCACCTAATTAACTCCCACTCATCATGTCAGCTGAAACGTCGTCTCCTCAGGGACTTCTCATGGAGTTCTCTCATTAGGTCAAAGCCTTCTACTCTTAACAGCATCACATACCTTTCCTCTATAACTCTTATCGGAGTTGAAATTGGCCAGTAGGGTAAGTGATCATGTGAATAAAGTCTGCCTCCTTACTAGAGTGTAAGGTCTTAAAGTAGCAGGAGCTCTGTCTATATTGACTCACTATTACATCCTTTTTTTTTTTTTTTTTTTTTTTTAGTACAATGTATAACACATAGTAGGCATTCCGTAGATAGGGTTAAATAGAAGGTGGATGGACAGATGGGAGGATGGATGCATGGATGTGGCAGCAGGAAAGGGTACATAGAAGAAAGCAGCTAGTAATGAGACTGGAGATCTTTTTCAGTGACCAAGTAAAAAAAGAATCTTTTTTATTTTTCTTCTTCCTCTTCTTCTCCAGCTACTCCTTTACCAAGCCAGTTCCTGTTATTTTTAAAAAAAGGACATTTGGTTTCCTTTATTAGTCTTTATATGTAATGTGAGAAAGAACTTAGGGAACAGAGCCCACAGACAAATCTTCTAAGGCCCAGAAAGAGCAAAGGGTTTTATCCTCTAGTTGTTTGTGCCTCTCTGCTTTAAGACGCATGTGGTAATGTATTCATGATGGCAGTCAGGCGGCAGAGTCACACCTGTGCTCACAGCCATGTGCGTGTGTACCCACAGTTGACTACAGCTCTCTCTCTGTTCTTGGCTCTACCTTGCTAAAATCTTTTTTAGACCCTAATGGGTCAGTGATGAAATGGCATCATGAGTTGGGGGCACAAACACTGTGAATTTGGAGCATAGATGCAAGAGAAGGGGATGCCACATAGGATGGACTCCTTGTGAACTTGGCTCTCCCCATAAAAAACCCACAAAAGGGTTTTTCACGGGAGCCCACAAAAAGTCGACGAGCCACTGAGCATTAGAGACCCCCAACCCGAACTTTAATCAAAGGGGCTTCAGTTTCATCTGCTTTTTATATTAAAGGGTTACACAGCATTACCTTTGATGAGGGGAGGGGCATGTTCATTGCTTTGAGAAATCAGTGGTCTAATTCTGCCTCTTTATTTCACCACTGTGAGTCCTGAGACCCAGAGAAGATAAGCCACTTAGTCAAAATTACCAAGTAACCAACCAGTGGCTGAGGTTTGGAAGACTAGAACCCAGGTTTTCTAAAGCCCTGCCAACTGCCTTTCCACTACACCAGTACGATTACGATCTGTCCCTAAAACATCTTTAAAAGCCAAGTTGTGCCCAGCATTAAACTCCAAGGCGGCTGGGAGACAGAGACGGACGGGATATTGGCCTTGTCTTTGAGGAGCTCACAGTCTTGCACCAACTACAGGTTCACAAGCTGTAGAAGACAGCGTGCTAAGTGTTCCGGTGGGAAATGCAAGTGCTGGGGGGTTGCAGAGACCCCTGACTTTCCCCTAAGATGACTCTGGGTTCAGATCAGTAATAATTTTACTCCATCCTCTTTTCCTCATCTTTCAAGCATCACAGAGTTGGAGGAACACAGGGAAGAAAAGAAAGAAATCAACATCTGCTAGGTATAGTCTAGAAGGGTAAAAATAAATGAGAAACCCACTTAGATGGAAATCACCACTCTGCCTCTGCCAGTTGCTCTTGGCCAAGTCCCTTTCTTGCTCTGAGCCTCAGGGTCTTCATGTGTGAAGTGGGAAGAGCAATGCCTACCTTACTTGTTTTATTTGAGAACGAAAGGAGAAAGCAAACATGGAAAGTGTGTGACATCGAGTACATCTGTACTGTGTTAGAGAAGCAAGCACCCATAATCATACACCAACATCATGCCAAGTTCCCAGTGATTCTTACGTTCAGTCTTTACAATTCTTGAGTAGTTTACATTCAGCTTCCTAATATATTTGCATATATATTTATTGTAAATTATGTTTGTAGTTACCTGCTACCAGGAAAAGTGGGGGAAAGGGGGCTCAAATTTTCATACCATTTCCTCAAGTGAAATGAGCCCCCTGCTTCAGGAGGGCATAGTGGTCTATCTTGCTGCCTTTGCATACCCAGCATATAAGAGTATGTCTCCTAGCATGACCATAGTTTGGTTGGGAAAAACTTGGCTAGATAAGAGCCTTTAAAAATGGTAGAAGTGAGCTTCCCCGGTGGCGCAGTGGTTAAGAATCCGCCTGCCAATGCAGGGGACACGGGTTCGAGCCCTGGTCCGGAAAGATCCCACATGCCGCAGAGCAACTAAGCCCGTGCGCCACAGCTACTGAGCCTGAGCTCTAGAGCCCGTGAGCCACAACTACCAAAGCCTGTGCTCCTAGAGCCCGTGCTCTGCAACAAGAGAAGCCTGCATGTAGCAACGAAGACCCAACACAGCCAAAAAAAAAAAAAAGTTAGGACTGGTAGTTTGTCCAAAAGGGTATAGGGATTTGAAGCCAGGTAGGCTGACTGTGGAGGTTTGTGAGAAGATGAGATACAGCTAAATATCTACAGAGGCCAGCCCCCGTTTACTCCAGCATGCTAACCAGGCCTCCTTTCCTTCCTGCCTCTCTCCTCATGTACAGCCCTTCATGGGAGACAATTACTGTGATGCCATCAACAACCGAGCTTTCTGCAACTATGACGGTGGGGATTGCTGCGCTTCTACGGTGAAAACCAAAAAGGTAGGCCAGTGTGCCCCCCTCTGCAGCCACCTATGCAGGCCTCTCCAGCTTACTGGCCCAGGACCACCCCTACGTGCTGGACAACCCATTGCCCTGGTTGTGTCAGCACTTACCCACAAGCTTTATTGTGTTACGTTCCATTGTATTTTTCATTCTTTTAGTCAGTAGTTGAGCTAGTATCGTGTGCTAATCCCTGAACTAGACGTGGAGGTTCATGGATGATCTTTGTAGATGTAGTCCCTTTTCCTCAAAGCTTAGCGTCAGCTATGGAAGCAGACAAACTAAAGTGCAATACTTTTTAAAGGAAAGGACAGAGTTCTCTGAGGGCCCAGGCAAAGGGTTGGAGAAAGCTCTGCAGAGGGATCTGCATCAATGCTGAAACTTGAGGTATGAGGAGAAGGGGCAGACAGGTGGCCAGGAAAAGTGTCTGGGGCAGGAGACCGGCATGTAAAATCCTAGAGAGAACACACATGTTCAGGGGGTATGGCTAAAGTCTAGGGGAAGAGGGAAGATGGGACACTCCCAGCGAGGTCAGTTATGGCCTTTAAGCATTTTAGAATCTCTTCTGTTGTTTACACCTGTAGAATTAGGGGGTGTGGTCTTGGTTGCCATTGTCTTCCTTAGGGTATTAGGACGTTACAGGAGTGATTCAAGTATTTATAGTGAAACTGGAACATCCAGCTGAGATGCATTCCACCCACCCACAGAAGAGTGGCAACCTCTGCTTTCCTCCTGATGAGAGCTGGGACCAGAGTTTGGGGCCCGAGCCGAGAGTTCGGAGAGAGGTGGCCAACCTGGCCAATGTGAGTTCAAAAGTATTTCCTGTGACAAATGAGCTCACGGGGAGCTACTTCTTCTTTTCTTTTCACATCTTTATTGGAGTATAATTGCTTTACAATGTTCTGTTAGTTGCTACTGTATAACAAAGTGAATCAGCTATACGTATACATATATCCCCATATCCCCTCCCTGTTGCATCTCCCTCCCACCCTCCCTATCCCACCCCTCTAGGCGGTTACAAAGCACTGAGCTGATCTCCCTGTGCTACGAGGCTGCTTCCCACTAGCTATCTGTTTTACATTTGGTAGTGTATATATGTCCATGCCACTCTCTCACTTCGTCTCAGCTTACCCTTCCCCCGCCCCATGTCCTCAAGTCCATTCTCAAGTAAGTCTGTGTCTTTATTCCTGTCATGCCCCTAGGTTCTTCAGGACTTTTTTTTTTTTTAGATTCCATATATATGTGTTAGCATACGGTATTTGTTTTCCTCTTTCTGACTTACTTCACTCTGAATGACAGACTCTAGGTCCACCCACCTCACTACAAATGACTCAGTTTCGTTTCTTTTTATGGCTGAGTAATATTCCACTGTATATATGCACCACATCTTCTTTATCCATTCCTCTGTCGATGGACACTTAGGTTGCTTCCATGTCCTGGCTATTGTAAATAGAGCTGCAATGAACACTGTGGTACATGACTCTTTTTGAATTATGGTTTTCTCAGGGTATATGCCCAGTAGTGGGATTGCTGGGTTGTATGGTAGCTCTATTTTTAGTTTTTTAAGGAACCTCAGTACTGTTCTCCATAGTGGCTGTATTAACTTACATTCCCACCAACAGTGCAAGAGGATTCCCTTTTCTCCACACCCTCTCCAGCATTTATTGTTTGTAGATTTTTTGATGATGGCCATTCTGACTGCTGTGAGGTGATACCTCATTGTAGTTTTGATTTGCATTTCTCTAATGATTAGTGATGTTGAGCATCCTTTCATGTGTTTGTTGGCAAGCTATATCTTCTTTGGAGAAATGTCTGTTTAGGTCTTCTGCCTCCTTTTGGATTGGGTTGTTTGTTTTTTGATATTGAGCTGCATGAGCTGCTTGTACATTTTGGAGATTAATCCTTTGTCAGTTGCTTCATTTGCAAATATTTTCTCCCATTCTGAGGGTTGTCTTTTCGTCTTGTTTATGGTTTCCTTTGCTGTGCAAAAGCTTTTAAGTTTCATTGGTCCCATTTATTTATTTTTGTTTTTATTTCCATTTCTCTGGGAGGTGGGTCAAAAAGGATCTTGCTGTGATTTATGTCATAGAGTGTTCTGCCAGTGTTTCCCTCTAAGGCTTTTATAGTGTCTGGCCTTACATTTAGGCCTTTAATCCATTTTGAGTTTATTTTTGTATATGGTGTTAGGGCGTGTTCTCATTTCATTCTTTTATGTGTAGCTGTCCAGTTTTCCCAGCATCACTTATTGAAGAGTCTGTCTTTTCTCCATTGTATACTCTTGCCTCCTTTATCAAAATTAAGGTGACTATATGTGCATGGGTTTATCTCTGGGCTTTCTATACTGTTCCATTGATCTATATTTCTGTTTTTGTGCCAGTACTATACTGTCTTGATTACTGTGGCTTTGTAGTATAGTCTGAAGTCCGGGAGCCTGATTCCTCCAGCTCTGTTTTTCTTGCTCAAGATTGCTTTTGCTATTCGGGGTCTTTTGTGTTTCCATACAAATTGTGAGACTTTTTGTTCTAGTTCTGTGAAAAATGCCACTGGTAGTTTGATAAGGATTGCATTGAATCCGTAGATTGCTTTGGGTAGTACAGTCATTTTCACAATGTTGATTCTTCCACTCCAAGAACATGGTATATCTCTCCATCTGTTTGTATCATCCTTAATTTCTTTCATCAGTATCTTATTGTTTTCTGCATACAGGTTTTTTGTCTCCTTAGGTAGGTTTATTCCTAGGTATTTTATTCTTTTTGCATTGGTAAATGCAAGTGTTTCCTTAATTTCTCTTTCAGATTTTTCATCATTAGTGTATAGGAATGCAAGAGATTTCTGTGCATTAATTCTGTATCCTGCTACTTTACCAAATTCACTGATTAGCTCTAGTAGTTTTCTGGTAGCATCTTTAGGAATCTCCACGTATAGTACCACGTCATCTGCAAACAGTTATAGCTTTACTTCTTCTTTTCTGATTTGGATTCCTTTTATTTCTTTTTCTTCTCTGATTGCTCTGGCTGAAAGTTCCAAAACTGTGTTGAATAATAGTGGTGAGAGTGGACAACCTTGTCTTGTTCCTGATCTTAGTGGAAATGGTTTCAGTTTTTCACCATTGAGGACGATGTTGGCTGTGGGTTTGTCATATATGGCCTTTATTATGTTGAGGTAAGTTCCCTCTATGCCTACTTTCTGGAGGGTTTTTATCATAAATGGGTGTTGAATTTTGTAGAAAGCTTTTTCTGCATCTATTGAGATGACCATATGGTTTTTCTCCTTCAGTTTTTTAATATGGTTTATCACATTGATTGATTTGCGTATATTGAAGAATCCCTGCATTCCTGGCATAAACCCCACTTGATCATGTGTATGATCCTTTTAATGTGCTGTTGGATTCTGTTTGCTAGTATTTTGTTGAGGATTTTTGCATCTATGTTCATCAGTGATATTGGCCTATAGTTTTCTTTCTTTGTGACATCTTTCTCTGGTTTTGGTATCAGGGTGATGGTGGCCTCGTAGAATCAGTTTGGGAGAGATCCTCCCTCTGCTATATTTTGGAAGAGTTTGAGAAGAATAGGTGTTAGCTCTTCTCTAAATGTTTGATAGAATTTGCCTGTGAAGCCATCTGGTCCTGGGCTTTTGTTTGTTGGAAGATTTTGAATCACAGTCTCAATTTCAGTGCTTGGGATTGGTCTGTTTATATTTTCTATTTCTTCTCGGTTCGCTCTCAGAATGTTGTGCTTTTCTAAGACTTTGTCCATTTCTTCCTGGTGTCCATTTTATTGGCATATAGTTGCTTGTAGTAATCTCTCATGATCCTTTGTATTTCTGCAGTGTCAGTTGTTACTTCTCCTTTTTCATTTCTAATTCTATTGATTTGAGTCTTCTCCCTTTTTTTCTTGATGAGTCTGGCTAATGGTTTATCAATTTTGTTTATCTTCTCAAAGAACCAGCTTTTAGTTTTATCGATCTTTGCTATTGTTTCCTTCATTTCTTTTTCATTTATTTATGATGTGATCCTTATGATTTCTTTCCTTCTGCTAACTTTGGGTTTTATTTGCTTTCTCTAATTGCTTTAGGTGGAAGGTTAGTTTGTTTATTTGAGATGTTTGTTTCTTGAGGTAGGATTGTACTGCTATACACTTCCCTGTTAGAACTGTTTTTGCTGCATCCCATAGGTTTTGGGGCGTTGTGTTTTCATTGTCATTTGTTTTTAGGTATTTTTTGATTTCCTCTTTGATTTCTTCCATGATCTCTTGGTTATGTAGTAGTGTATTGTTTAGCCTCCATGTGTTTGCATTTTTTACAGGTGTTTTCCTTTAATTGATATCTAGTCTCATAGTGTTGTGGTCAGAAAAGATATTTGATACAATTTCAATTTTCTTAAATTTACCAAGTCTTGATTTGTGACCCAAGATGTGATCTATCCTGGAGAATGTTCCATGAGCACTTGAGAAGAAAGCGTATTCTGTTGGTTTTGGATGGAATGTCCTTTAAATATCAATTAAGTCCATCTTATTTAATGTACCATTTAAAGCTTGTGTTTCTTTATTTATTTTCATTTTGGATCATCTGTCCATTGGTGAAATTGGGGTGTTAAAGTCCCCTACTATGATTGTGTTACTGTCGATTTCTCCCTTTTATGGCTGTTAGCATTTGCCTTATGTATTGAGGTGCTCCTGTGTTGGGTGGATAAATATTTACAATTGTTATGTCTTCTTCTTGGATTGATCCCTTGATCATTATGTAGTGTCCTTCTTTGTCTCTTGTAATAGTCTCTATTTTTTAAAGTCTATCTTGTCTGATATGAGAATTGCTACTCCAGCTTTCTTTTATTTTCCATTTGCATGGACTATCTTTTTCCATCACCTCACTTTCAGTCTGTATGTTTCCCTAGGTCTGAAGTGGGTCTCCTGTAGACAGCATATATATGGGTCTTGTTTTTGTATCCATTCAGCAAGCCTGTGTCTTTTGGTTGGAACATTTAATCCATTTACATTTAAGGT